CAGTGACTGCTCCCTCCTCTTGTCCTGAGTACCAACACCCCATTGTTACTAGCAGTGCCTATGGCCTCTTCCTACTCTGTCCACACCTTCACAAACAGTCCCTTTATTAAACTCTCTTCAGAGTACCCATTTTCCCACTAGAACCCTAGAATATTCAATACAAAGGGGATTTTATTATATTTAGTGGTCGGGGCTAGGGGAGTGTGGATGTAGCTAGTGGACCCCTAAACCAGCCTACCCCCCACGTCGACCCTGTCCAGCAGGAAGTAGCAAGATGACAACGGCGCCCCCTATCCTATAATACAAAAGGCTGGAATATTAGGGTTCCAAACAGCAGCAGCTTCCCCCCTCCCCAACAGGGACCTATGGACTTTTGGAGCCTGAAAAAGGGAACTGAGCTGATAAGCACCTTGGCCTTTGAAGTCAAGGGAAACAAACTCTGCTGAGAAGCAGCCTGCCTTTCCTCTGATCTCCAAAGACAAGCAGATTCTACCTGTTAACCAGAGATTTTAGAAGCTGTTTAACACAACAGCTTTTCCCTTATCTTAAGAGGAAAAAAGTAAACACTTCCAGACCCAGATCCTGCCTGGCAGACTGGACGGAGCCAGGTTTACAAGCCCTGCTTTTCCTGCTTCCCCCTGCTTGATTTTTCCCCAAAAACTTCCCCCCCTTCTGCACCCTAAAGCCCCCGTATATAAGTCCCAGCTCACTACCTGTGGGCTGACATCTTTCCCTTCCCCGAGGGAAACGTGTCCCGTGCGAAATAAAGCTGTATCCTGCTGAGAGTTCTATCTGTGCCTCGGTGCCTCCTCCATCCGCTCACTCTCCACCTCCCCAACTTTTTACCTATCACACATGTCATAGCACACGTGAGGTCAGAGGACAACTTTTGGCAATTGGTTCTCTCCTTCCACCATGTGGATTCTGGGATGTGACTCAGGTCTTCAGGCTTGGTGGCAAGCACCGCTGCCTGGTGAGCCATCTTGAGGTCCCTGGCCTTGAAATCTTGATCCCTGTGCCTCAACCTCCTGAGTGCTGGATTATAGATAGACATGTGCTACCATACCCAGCTTCTCCCCTAGGACCCTGCTATGCCTTAATCCACACACAAGTCACACACTCATCCCCTTTCTGTCTCCCCCTTTAACTGCCAAGACTAAATCTTCTTATCCTCAGCCCCAATTCTTGGCATAAACCAGAAACCAGTAAATGGTTTGGAATAGCTGGGGTTGGGGCTGGAGAAATGGCTCAGCAGTTAAGAGCACTGACTGTTCTTGCAGAGTATCAGCACCCACATGTCGGCTAACAGCCATCCATAACTCCAGTTCCATGGGATCCAACGTCCTCTTCTGACCTCCGAGAGCACTGCACAACACAGGTGCACCTACCTACATGTAGGCAATACACATAAAATAATAAAGGTGCTGGAGAGATGGCTCATGGTTAAGAACAGTGGCTGTTCTTACAGGAGACTCGAGTTTGATTCCCAACACCCACATGGTGACTAACAACCATCCGTGACTCCAGTTCCTGGGGAATCCAACGCTCTCTTCTGACCTCTGCAGGCATTGCACGACACAGGTGTATTTACATACATGCACGCAATACACTCATACACACGAAATAAAAATAAACATTTTTAAAAATAATATGGGGCTGGAGAGATGGCTTAGCAGTTAAGAGCACTGACTGTTCTTTCAGAGGACCTGGGTTCGATTCCCAGCACCCACATGACGGCTACGAACTGTCCTTAACTCCAGTTCCAGGGGAATCTGAAGCCCTCTTCTGACCTCCGAGGCATTGCATGATATGGGTGCACTCACATACATGCAGGCAATACACTCGTACACATAAAATAAATAATAAATAGCTGGGGATGCAGCTCAGTAGATAGAGTGCTTGCCTAGCATGCACAGCACTCTGGATTCCATTTTAAGCACATACAAAACAGACATGCTAGTACATGCCTGTAACCTTGGTGCTCTGGAGGCAGAGGCAAGAGGTTCAGAAATTCATCCTCAGTCACAGCAAATTTGAGGCCAGCTTGGACATGAGACCTTGTCTTAAAAAAAGACGGGGCTTAGGAGAGGATATTTTAAGGATTTCATAATATTCCACCATCACAATGCACCACTGTATAGTAATTTATTTCACTTTTCCTTATCCTTGCACATTTAGGTGATTATTAATATTTCATTGTATATAACACTGTAGAACTTTCTTTTTCTAGTGCTGGAGGTCAAAGGCAAAGCCTGGCACATCCCAGGCAAGCCTGATGCTGTTGGGCTCCAACCCAACCCTGACACTCTAGACTTTTCACCTGCTCAATAGAGCTGCCACCAACAATAATTATTGGGAACTATCTTCTCCAGCACACATGACTACTTTTCCCTAATTTTTTTAAATCACATTTGTTTAGTGAGGGTGGGAGGAGGAGGGGGGTGGCATGGATATCAGAGTACATCTTGTGGGAGGTAGCTGGTTCTCTCCATCATCTGGGTCCCGGGAATCCAACCCAGGTCTTCAGGCTAGCAGCAAGCAGCTTTACTCACTGAGCCATGTCAACAGCCCTTTCCTCATTTTCTTATTCACACCTCACTTCAGTTTGACAAGGACCCTAGGTTTTCTACTTTAATATATGAGAAAGGAAGGGAAGGAATAAGATAGAGTAAGCACCGAGCCTCCAGGCACTGGGATGGGTATTCAGGTTTCAACTTTCCCAAAGACCTCATGGAAAGAGCTTTGGCGCAGAGACATTCAGACTGACCCTAATGAACTCTTCAGTCTTTCATGGCTTGCTAGACCAAATACTCTCAGTGATGTAAGCTGGCTTTTCTGAACCTGGGCTCCTGTAAAATAGATGGGCTAACACCCGAGGCAGGGGTTTCGAGGTTAAAGAGATGTTTGTGAGTTAGCCTGGCTCCCAGATAACCTCCCTGCAAGTGGCAGAGTCATGCCCTGTGCCTGGGCATCCTCAACTGTCCTGGGCAAGGCTTTTGGGAGCAACATGACTTTAGAGCAGGGAGAGATTCCTGGGGCTTCTGGAAGGAGGTAATGGATGTGAGCTGTGGAAAGCTTCCCGCTGACTGTGAGGCAGGATCTGGGCATGGGTCCCTAAGGCCAAGTAAGCAACAGGGGTAATGCAGATCTCAGCCTTTGTGCCCTAGGGAGACCTGATACCTGAAGGCCTGCAGAGGGCCTTTTGCCATCTGCAATGTGGTCAGGAGCCCAGGCTAGCACCTCCCCAGGCTGGAGAGTCGTTAGGGACACCTGCCTCCCTTCCTCCCACTCTGGGCGGGAAGCCACTGCTGCTGCACCTGGGCGCAGCTGGGCCTGGGAACACTTGGAGCCTGTGGCACACAGGCTGCCCCTGGGGTCCCTGTGCAGGGCCAGGAGATGGGCAGGCAGTGGGGCCATTAAGACAGCCCTCCTGGCCAAGTGGGGTGAGGCTGGCAGGAGAATAAAGACACTGAGGAGCCAGGAAGAAATAAACCAGTCAATAGAAAAGACAGTAACCTGTAATAAGCATCCTATCAAGGGTCAGGAAGGATTATTCTGCAAATAACCCAGGATACTTAATTGGTTCTTTAGGAAACCTATGTGCTTTCGCCGCACCAAAATTACTCCCAGTGGAGTGGATGAGATTAAGCCAAATACTCAGAGGGCCCAAGTTCAGTTCCCAGCACCCATGTCAGGCTGACTGTGTAACTCCAGGTCCAAGTGATCCTCAGGTACCCACATGTATCTGCACATACATGCACACTGACACAGACACAGACACACACACACACACACACACACATAAATAAATAAATAAATACATAAATAAAATAAATCTTTTTAAAATGCAAGGTTGCTGGGTGAGGTGGCTCACACCCAAGCACTCAGGAGGATCTCTGTGAGATTGAGGCCAACCTGGTCTACATAGCGAGTTTCAAGCCAGATGAGGCTACAGGGAGACCTGTCTTCAAAACAAAACAAACAAAAAACTGGGTGTGGTAGTGCATGCCTTTGGTCCCAGCACTTGGGTAGAGGCAGAAGGATCTTCGTGAGTTCGAAGCCAGGCTGATCTACATAGCAAGTTCCAGGCCAGCTGGGGCTACAGAGAGACCCTGTCTCTAAAAGACAAAAAGAAAAAGAAGCAAAGTTCTTTTAAAATTTTTTTGGATTTATTTTATGTGTATGAGTGTTTTTTTGATGTATGTAAGTACACCACATGCATGCAATGCCCTGCAGAGGCCAAAAGAGGGTGTTGAAGCCCCTGGAACTGGAGTTTCAGACAGTTGTTAGCTACCAGGTGGATGCTGGGAACCAAATCCAGGTCCTCAGCAAGAGCTGCCAGTGTTCTCAACAACTGAGTCATCTCTCCAGCCCTATGTTTGTTTTTGAGACATGGTTTCATGTAGGCCAGGCTAGCTTCAAGTTCTCTTTATAACAGAGAATAATCTTAAACTTCTAATCCTCCTGCCTCTACCTTCCCAGCGCTGAGATTCCAAAGGTAACCCCTTACCTGGTTTATAGTGTCAGGGATGGACCTCAGTACTTCAAGTATGCCAGGCAATCATGTTACCATCCTCCTGCTCAATCTCCTTGAGTCTAGGAGTTTGAGACCAGCCTGGTCTACATAGTAACTATGAGACTCAGTCTAAAAAACAAAACAAAACAAAAAACAAACGAGAGTTGGACAGTGAAGGGCTCTTCAGACAGGAGCGAGAGTAGGAGACAGTGGCCACCCAGCCCTTGTGGTAGGACTGGCCATCAGAGTTCCCTGGTCTGCTGAGAAAGGACTGGGAACTTGGGGGTGGGGAAATAGCTCTGCTCAAGGCAGAGCAGCTGAGGTGCAGCTGAGCCTGTGGCCTGGGAGACAGTCTCAGGATGCAACCTCCCCCAGCCCACAGTTAGGTCTGCAGCTGGGCCTGTGGCCTGGGATACACTCTATGGGGAATCTCCTCCCCTAGCCCACAGCTCAGGGCTGCAGCTGGGTCCTGCCTCTTCATGAGTGGGTCATGGCTAGGACATGGCTGTTGCTTCTCCTGGCCCTCGGGTGTCCAGTCCTGCCCACAGGTGAGTTACCTTGCTTCTCTCGCTGGCCCCCACTGAGCCCACCCCCTGGTGCCAGCTGGGCCTCTACAGAGATGGGTGGGGTTCTGAGAGACAGGACAGGAGCCACTTACAGTATCCTGGGGAGTATCTCATTATCCCCCTCCCAAGACCACCTGGCTCTGAGGCCTCAGTCTTCCTTCCCTGGAGGGAGTGTCAGTAGGGCAGCTATTGTGTCTCTTGGAAGTACAGAGAAATAAAAGCAGGTCCCTTCTGGTGGTGTGCTTGTAACCCCTGGTACTCAGGAGGCTGAGGCAGAAGGGTCAAAATTTACTGAAGGTCAACCTGGCCTGCACAATGAGTTCAAGGCCATCTCGGTCAATTTAGTGAGACCTTGTCCCAAAATAAAAAGTGAAAAGGGACTGGGGATATAGCTCAGTGGTCGAACATTTGCCTAGCATGCATGAGGCCCAGGCTCAATCCCAGCCCTGAAAAATAAAAGAGAAAATATAAGCAGACTAGATGGGTGCCCTCAGAAGTTGGGGCTGTGTTGTGTGATATGGGGCAATATAATATGAACAACATTGTCAGGTCCTGGACTGTCCTTCCTGCCCTCAGAGTGCCTTCTTCCAACAGGGCTCGGGTGTCTCAAGTTCACTCCCAGCTCAGGAAATATCTCTAGCTGGTAGTGACTTGCCCAAGCATTTAGCCCCAGCTTTCCAATAATCAAGGCTGGGAGAATTCCAGATCCATCCAGAAGCATGGGTGTTTTTGCACAGGTGTAGTGAGGGCAGGTCTGGACTTTTGAATCATCTAAACCGGCTCACAGTGTCTCACAAGACTTCCTTGTTTGGGAGAGGTTTGAGCCCTGGGGAGAAGGTGGCTGGGGCCAGAAGGAACAATCTTGGAGGGCTTCGTGGAAGAGGTAGCCAATGAAAAGGTTCAGGAGGCTGAAGGTCCTGGTGTTCACGCGCAGCCTTCATCATCTTGTTTGTAACACTTTAGTAATAGTACTATCAATAGTTAGGTGTGGTGGTGCCGCCTTTAATCACAGCACTCAGGAGGCAGAGGCAGGCAGATCTCTGAGTTTGAGGCCAGCCTGGTTTACATAGTAAGTTCCCAGCTAGCTGGGGCTACAGGGAGACCCTATCTCAAACAAAACAAAACAGACCGAAAAATATATTACTATCAATAGAAATGCCAAAACTTTTCTGCCGGAGCATTGTATCATCTATACTCTTTAAATTTTATGTGTTTGAGTGTTTTGCCTGCATATATGTAAGTGCACCACATGCATGTAATGCCTGGGGAAGCTAGAAGAGGGTGTCAGATCCCCTGGAACTGGAGTTTCAGACAGTTATAGCCACCATGTGGGTGATGGGAACTGAACCTGGGTCCTCTGCAAGAACAGCCAGTGGGGGATGAAGGGATGGACTACGGACAGACGGGAAATAACCAGGGATCATACAGGTTAGCAAGTGGTTAGCATTTTATCATATTTGAACCTAATTTTTTTTTTTTTACTGTTTTTGCTTTGTTTTGTTTTTGAGACATCTTGCTATGTAGCCCAGGCTGGCCTCAAACCACTGAGATTCTCCTACCTCGGCCACCTGAGTGCTGGGATTACAGGCCTGTACCATCACCCTGGTTTAGATTTTTTTTTCAAAGAAGGGGAAGTTCCAAGTATATGTGAAACATTTTTATCTCATTCCAAGTCCTATTTCCTGCCCTTCCTCCCAGAGGTAACTATTCTCCTCAGCTGGTACAACATAGTAGTATAAAGACTTGTTTATGTAGCTATTGTCCTTCCCATGGGACTGAGATCCTCAAAGCCCTGGGCGGTGCCGTTCTCAATGTTAGATACTCAGCACCTGGCACAGAAAGGAGCTCCAAAAAGACAGATGGGTAGACAGAGGATGGACAGACATTTAGACACAAGGTAATAAGATGGAGACGAGGAACGATTGGATCAAAGTATGGCTTGAGGGCAGGGGACATGGCTCAGTGGGTAAGAACACTTGCTAAACAAGCATGAGGACCTGCGTTCAAATCCTCAGCATCGATGGAAAAAGCTGTGCATGGCCGTGGGTGTGTCTGGAACCCCAGCACTGTAAGGGGTGGATCACTGTGGTAGGCTGACTGCAGCCTAGCTCCAGGTTCAGTGGGAGATTCTGTCCCAGAGGAATAAGGCAGAAAATGCTAGAGCAGGACACCCATGTCCTCCTCCGGCCTCTGTGTGTGCACAGGTGTGAACATCCATACACTCAGGTGTTTACACATCTCTCTCTCTCACACACACACACACACACACACACACACACACACACACACACTACATCACATACACCCCCCCAAAAAAAAGAAAAAAGAAAGAAAATACAGCTTGATGAAAAAGACTAATGACTAAATGCAAGAGGGGTCTTAGGATAGATTGGTGAATGGTGATGGTGGCAGGCTGATGGAGCCCGAGTACACGCACACTCTCCTCTCTTGCAGGTGTAGCTGGTTTGCCTTTCCCTTCTCTCGCCCCACCCATCACACTGCTGGTGGATGGAAAGCAGAGGACGCTGGTGGTCTGCCTGGTCCTTGACGCTGCACCCCCTGGCCTTGACAGCCCCATCTGGTTCTCAGCCGGCAATGGCAGTGCACTGGATGCCTTTACCTACGGACCCTCCCTAACAACAGATGGCACCTGGACTAGCTTAGCCCAGCTCTCCCTGCCCTCTGAAGATCTGGCAGCCTGGGAGTCTTTGGTCTGCCACACCAAGCCTGCAATTGGGGGCCCGAGGCGGAGCACACGCCCCCTCCAGCTGTCAGGTGGGGATGGAACACCCTGTAGATGCTCACTGTCCCTTTTCACACACCCTGGAATCAGGATATGGTGGGGAGGGAAGACAGGCTGCAGGCATGAGGAGTGAAGTGGGGCTAAGGGTAAGCTGATGCCTGGGCTCAGGGCAGAGTGGCCTTAAAGTCATGAGTTTTGGGGTTGCAACCATGATCTACAGTTCAAATGCAGGCTCTCTTTTCTTTAAAAAAATTAGATTTAAGCCAGGTGTGGTAGTGCATGCCTGTAGTCCTAGCACTTGGGAGGCAGAGGCAGGTGGCTCTCTGTGAGTTCAAGGCCAGCCTGGTCTACATAGTGAGTTGCAGGACAGCTGGGGCTACAGGGAGACCCTGCTTCAAAAAGACCAAAAAAAAAAATTAGATTTAAAAAATGTTTTGCTGGGCGTGGTGGCCCACGCCTTTAACCCCAGCACTCAGAAGGCAGAGGCAGGCAGATCTCTGTGAGTTCAAGGCCAGCCTGTTCTACATAGTGAGTTCCAGGGCTACAGGGAGACCCTGTCTCAAAAAGACCAAAAAAAAAAAAAATGTTTTAAGGGCCTGGAGAGAAGGCTCAGCAGTAAAGAGCACTGGTTCCCCTTACAGAGGACCCAGGTTCAGCTCCCAGCATCCACATGGTGACTAACAAGTGTCCATAACTGCAGTTCCAGGGGATGCTCTCTTCTGACCTCTGTGGACATTGCAGGACATGGGTTCGCTTACATACATGCAGACAATACACTCATGCACATAAAATAAAATAATAAAATTTTTTAAATGTTTTTTAAATTATGTGCATATGTGTGTCTCTGCGTAGGTATATGCACATGAGTACAGGTGCCTGTGGAGGCTAGAAGAGGGTGTAAGACCACTGGAGCTGGTGTTGCAGTTGTTGTGAGTCACCTGACTTGTGTGCTAGGAACCGAACCCAGTTCTCTGCAAGAGCAGCCAAGTGCTTTTAACCCCTGAGCCATTTTCTCCAGCCTCCACACCCCTTTCCCCATTTTCTTTTTTTTTAAAAAGGTTCTGGGATTTGAACTCAGGTCCTCATGCTTACGATACACTTTTATGACTGACCCATCTCTTTTACCTCAGTTTTGTTACCTCCTGGACCGAAATGCTTGCTGAATAGATATCCCACTTTTCCTGGAAAGCTGAGGGAGAATGAGCCCCTTGAGGGAAGGAGCTTAGATGCCTCCCAGGGCCCAGAACAGAAAGGCAGGAAGGGGAGAAGAGCTGGCTCCTCAGGGCTTCTGAATGTGTCCACATGTCCTGCTGGCAGGCCAGGGTTGGGCATACCCCTGGCATTAAGGGATGCCCTGTTATCTCCTCACTGCCCTCTCCTTGGCCAGCAGGAGACACTTCCACAGCCAGGACCTGCTTCCAAGAGCCTCTCAGGGGTGAGTACTCCAGGGGATGGGGGCAGGATGGTGACTGGGAATAAGAAGCAAGGGACCAGCACTTGGGGGGTAGCATTCAATTCTAATCTGACTATGGGTCCCAAGGTTGGGGGTGAGGGATTGAGAAGACCCCACTTAAGAGATTGCTTTGCTAGGGATAGCCTGGGCTTCAGCCTACCCTAAGGTAAGGTGGGGTCCCCTGACCCCAGCCTAATTATTGAACCCCAGTGGGGCAGCAGATGTGAGGCAGCCAAAGCGGCCTCAATGGCTCCTTGGGTGGCAGGTAGTCTCAGCATAAGAGTTTATGGATTATTTTATTATCTGAGGTGGTAGAAAGCAAACAACTAAAAATTACAGTCTGTTTCTTTTTTAAAAAAATATTTTACTGATTTTTATTTTATGTGCATGTGTATCACCTGCATGTGAATAAGCACACCCGTGTGGTGCAACACCCTTGGAGGTCAGAAGAGGGTGTTGGAGCCCCTGGAACTGGAGTTAGGGATGGTTGTTAGCCGCCATGTGGGGGCTGGGAATTGAATCTGGGTTCTCTGCAAGAGCAGCCTGTGCTCTTAACTGCTGAGCCATCTCTCCAGCCCCCACAAACCTGTTTCTTGGCCAGATATTCTGAGCTAGTTATTCTTTGCATCTGATGTTCATCCCTGCCAGCCTGCATCCCTTGTGGAATAAATTGAGGTCTAGGTAGGAAGGTACTGATTGATTTTTATTACCAGTAGGAACTGAGGTTAGACACTAGGAAAAACTTTCCTAGGAGGAGGAGACAGAGAGGGAGAATGCCTAGTGCAGACTCTGTCTTTTGGGGTGCTTCGGGATCCAGGAACTCCCAGCTTCTTCCACAGGATTACCAGGTCACGTGCTGCGGCTGGCGTTGCTGCGACTGCTGCTCTTCAAACTGCTCCTGTTCGACCTGTTCGTCACCTGTAGCCACCTCTGCATGCCCACTGGCCAGAACCTGCTGCTGCCACCTGTATGTAAGCCCCAGTCCCCACCTACTACATTCGGACACAGAGACGAGAGACCTCATGCCTTCAGCTCACCCAACCCACTGAGACTCAGTGCTGAGTCTAGGAAACAGAACACCTCCACCACCTGGGGCAGGAAGGCAGGAGGCCATCTGGGTCTGAAGCCCATGATCTGCCCTTGATAGTCCTTCCTCAAGTTTCAGAGCATTTTTTTTTTCTGCTTGTGATCTGTCTCTTCCTGTGAATGTGGCTCCCCTGAGGCTGGGCTCTGCCTCCCTCACAGTACTGGCTTTGGAAGGAAAAGAGCTATGTCTCTCCCATCAGACAGTGTGGGAAGATGAGGTGGTGCCCAGGCCCTGGGGCATTTGGGGTGTACATAGCTAATGTTACAATAAAGAAGAGCTTAAATGACACGGGCAAATTACAAGGATTTTATTCCCATGCTTGGAGGAAATTGTGATAGAAGCAGATTTAGAGGAAGCAAAAGACTCCCTAGAGGAAGAGAGCTTCCTGGAAGAGAGTATTTGGGAATTGCAGAGTGGGCCTGGGACTGGGGAGGAGTTGTGGGGTCTCTTTCTCCTTCCCCTATGTTATCCTGGCATACAATCTTTGTGAGAGGGCAGGGCAGGAGCCAGGGAGATGATGCTCGGCTGCTAATCTTGTACAGACTTGACAGAACTGAGCAGGGCCAGGATTCCCAAGGGAACAGGATTATATTCAGTGTTAACAGCATAAGGTAGTAATTGCAAACTTAACAGGTTATTAATCAATTAAGAATCATTATTCATTTGACAAATATTCACTCAGCATCAGTCAGGAGTCAGGTACTAAAGAGATTTGGCTTCTTTTAGTTTTCCTTTTTGTTTCTTTATTTTTTTTATTTTTTATTTTTTTTTTTGAGACAGGGTCTTCCTGTGGCCCCAGCTGTCCTGAAACTCCCTCTGTAGCCTCAGGCTGGCCTTGATCTCACAGAAATCCATCTGCCTCTGCCTCCTGAGTGCTGAAATCAAAAGCGTATGCCACCAGCTCAGCCAGCCCTTATTTTTTATTATGTGTATGTATGTGTATATGTATGGATATGTGCATGTGCATGCAGTGCCTGTGGTGGCATCAGATCTCCTGGAGCTGCAATTATATACAGGTAGTTGTGAGCTACCTGATGTGGGTTCTGGGAATTGAATTCAGGTCCTCTGTGAGAACAGTAGGGTTCTCTTAATCACTGAGCCATCCCTCCAGTCCCTTTCCCTTTTCTAAAAAGGGCCTTTGTGGGGCTGGAGAGAAGGCTCGGTGTTTAAGAGCACTGGCTGCTCTTGCAGAGGACCAGGTTCAATTCCCAGCACCCACATGGCAGCAAAAAGAAATCTGACGCTCTCTTCTGACTTCTGTGGGCACTGCACAACATGGACATGGTGCCCTTACATACACTTGGGAAATACACTCATACACATAAAATAATAATAAATAAAATATTTTAAGCCAGGCGTGGCAGTGCATGCCTCTAATCCCAGCACTCAGGAGGCAGAGGCAGGCGGATCTCTGTGAGTTCAAGGCCAGCCTGGTCTACATAGTGAGTTCTAGGACAGCTGGGGCTACAGGGAGACCCTTTCTTAAAAAGACCAAAAAAAATATTTTTAAGAATAACTAAAATAAAATAGAGCCCTTATATAAGTAGAACATGAGGTTACTGCAGTGGAGAATGGCCTGTGTATCCCTGATGGCCCAAAGGGTCATCTCTGGTAACCACACTGAGAATCTCTGGGTGCAGTCATAAGAATCCGGATGTCCGGAGTAGATCAATGGCACTCCCTTGGTCTTCCTTCCCCTCAGGTAGGGGTGGGAGCAGAGCCTCAGTGACAGCCACAGCTTCCCTAAGCCTCCATGTACCCTTGGCTGCTGTTCCCTACCTCCACTGCTGTCAGCAGCCTGGAAGGCCATTTTCCTGCCATTTGTGTGTGTGGGGGGGTATATGTGTGTGTATGTGTTTATGTGTGTGTGCACATGTGTGTAGGTCAGGGGTCTATATTGAGTCACTCTCCACTTTATTTATTTATTATTTATTTATTTATTTATTTATTTATTTTTGAGACAGGGTCTCCCTGTAGCCCCAGCTGGCCTGGAACTCACTATGTGTAGACCAGGCTGGCCTTGAACTCACAGAGATCTGCCTGCCTCTGCCTCCTGAATTCCACCTTATTAAATTTTCTTTGATTTTTCCTTTCGACAGGGCTTCATTATATACCCCTGCCTAGCTGACCTGGAACTTGTAGACCAGGCTGACCTTGATCTCTCAGAGAGCTGCTTGCCTCTGCCGCCTAAATGCTGATTTAAAGGCATGCATCACCATGCCTGGCCACCTGGTAGCTGGGGATCTCAACTCAAGTTCTCATGCCTGTAGAGCAAGCACTTTGCCCACTGAGCCCCCAGCCCCATCTCCTGCCTCTTTCTTTGGATTCCTCAGGAAGCAAGGGGCACAGCTTATAGGGTAAAGCCATCCACCATCCCCACAGAGCTCTACCCTTTCCAATGGCCAGATCGAGAGAGGAATGTACATTGTAGCCACCACTTTTGTCTAGCCATTGTCCCTTCTCAGTTCACAGCCCAGATGCCAAGACTGGGCCTCTATAATTACTTCTTGCCTCAATAAAAGTCCCCTTGGCCCGAAGCTGGGTTCCAGCCTTCCAGTTTTCTCTGCTCCTCAACCTTGCCCCACCTCTCTCAAATCTCTGTTGTCTCCCCAGAGGGCTTCTCAGTCTATGTGAGTCAGGGGAGTGGCCAGCCTCTGAGCTGCCCCAAATCTAACAGAACCTAGAAAAAGTGGAGAGCCCTGGGAGGACTTCTTGCATGTACACGTGCAGTGGCACATAACCCACGCCTGCCTAGCCAAAATGCCGTTACTAACACAGCTGCTAGAAAGTGATGTCAGATTCGGCCCTCAGTCCTTTGAAGTCTTCATATGGTAGCAAAAATAGCCAACTTTTAGGAAGGAAATACAAGGGGAACAGGGCTTTATAGGTAAAATTGCATTTGCAGACAGCTCCTCAGAGAAGCTGAGCTCAGAGGCGAGCTGAAGCAATCTCCAGGTCCCAGAGGTTCTTTTTAGAACAAGGCTGGTCTTGAACTCCTGATCTTTCTGCCATCACCTGAAGTAACAGAAAAACTCCATTTTGTCCTGGGCCAGTCTTGACTTCAGGTTTTTGCCTGCTCCGGCATTCTTCCCAGCCACGAGCCTCTCCCAGCAACACATCTGGGGCTTTTCAAAACCCTGCCTATGGCCTAGAAGTATAACGAAAATAACTGCTAAAGTCTAACCAAAATAGCTACTGCAGCAAGATCTCTCTGTCCTCTATCTGATTCAAACTGTTATGTCTGCCAGTTTTGCCTTTATAAACTCTGTACACGGGCTTCAGTGCTGAGAGATTTTTCTGAGTTACTAACCACTCTCAGTCATGCGCTAATCAATAAAGGACTCCTTCCCCTTTTAATTGGCTTATGTGTGTGGTGGTGATCTGTAACTTTCTTGCCTGAGTATAACACACCTCCCAAGTGATTAACATATAGGCAGGCACACCATACCCAAATGACATGGCTCAAATAGTGTGTGTGTGTGTGTGTGCGCGCGCGCGCGCGCACGCACGCACGCTGCTGGAGAATTCTTTCATTTTTTTGAGGCAAAGTCTCCTTATGTAGCCCTGGCTGGCCTTGGAACTTGCTATGTAGACAAGGCTGGTCTGGAACTCACAGAGATCTGCTTGCCTCTGCCTCCCAAGTGCTGGGATTGAAGGACTGAATCCAGGACCTCACACATGCAAGGCAACCACTCAACCAACTAAGCTGCATCCCCAGTCAGAAAGGCCCTCTTAACAAGGGTCTTACAGAGTATATCCCAGTATCTGGCAGTATGAGGCAGAAGGAAAATATAAATGCTCAAAGCCAAATTCTTGCCTTCTGAAAGCTCAGAATACAAATAAACAGTAGAAGAAAAGGACTGAGATTACACACTGAAAATGCTGGAATGTTTAGCCATCTGCTCCATAAACCTTAGGGGGTTTTTGTTTTGTTTTAGAGATACGGTCCCATGTAGTCCAGGCTGGCTTTGAACTCTGTAGCCAAGGATGACCTTGAACTTCTGATCCTCCTTTTTCCATCTCCTTAGTGGTAGGATTACAGGCATGTGCCACCACACGTATGTTTACATGGTCCTGGGAACAGAACACCAGGGCTTTATGATGTCAGCTAGTGCTCTAGCATGGACCTATATTCCTGGCCTGCTCTGAAAAACTTAATTCAATCTATGAATTGATTTGAGCTTCCCAACAACAGGCAAGTCTGGCAGAGCAGCTAAGGGGGTCATTTTGTCATCAAACAGAAATTGCAGTTCAAAGACAGAAGTTTCTTTATATTTATTTAATTAATTAATTTATTTATTTTTGTCTTATGTGTATGTGTGTATTGCCTGCACGTAGGTAAGTGCACCGGTGTTGTGCAATTCCGGCAGAGGACAGAAGAGGCTGTCGGATACCCTGGAGCTGGAGTTAAGGACAGTTGTTAGCTGCCATGTGGGTGCTGGGATTCAAACCCAGGTCTTCTGCAAGAACAGCTAGTGTTCTTAACCGCTGAGCCATCTCTCCAGCCCCAGGGGCAGAAGTTTCTAGGTCTAATTTTCACAATGACAAATAATGGTCACTGTTTTATTGTTTTGAGTCATCCTGCCCTCACCCCCCAAGTGTCTGAGTGGCAGCAACAAACTATGCTCTGCGTTCTCAGCCTTATGAAGAAAACCATGAAGATGGCCTACAAGATGGCTCAGTAGGTAAAGGACCCTGCCACCTGGTGGATAGCTGTGAGACGGAGGCCAGCCTGGTCTACAAATCGAGTACCAGGGCAGCTGGGGCTCCAGGGAGACCCTGTCTCAAAATGACCAAAAAAGGGGGTTGGAGAAATGGTGATTAAGAGCACTGTCTGCTCTTGTAGAGGACCTGGGTTCGAGTCCCAGCACCACCCACATGGCGGCTAACAACCATCTGTAACTCCAGTTCCAGGGAATCCAACGCTCTCTTCTGACCTCTGAGAGCCTTGCATGGCCTTGTAGGACACAAGTGCACTAGCAGGCAATACACTCATACACATCTTTTTTCTCTTTTTTTTTGGTCTTTTTTGAGACAGGGTCTCCCAGTAGCCCCAGCTGGCCTGGAACTCACTACGTAGACCCGGCTGATCTCAAACTCACAGAGATCCGCCTTCCTCTGCCCCCCAAGTGCTGGGATTAAAGGCGTGCGCCACCGCGCCCGGCTGAGGACTAAGTTCGATCCCCGGAACCCAAATGGTTGTCTTCTGATCTCCATGCTTGCTGTAGCATGTCCCTCCATTCCCCCCTAAAATAAAATTTAAAAACTTTAAAAATTTAAAAAAAAAAAAACATGAAGAAAGTCCTTATGCCTTCCAGGACAAGAGCGCTCGAACCCGGGGCCCTGCAGCGCAAAGCAGGGCTCCTCCACCCCGAGTCCGGCCTCTCCCAGAGCCTCCGTTAGAAGGCGGAAAAAATGCCGTTATAGAGCACAGAAGCCACCATCCGCCCTCTGATTGGCCGAGGCGGAAAAAACCTCGTCTTCCCATTCGCTAGAACGCTAACACCGGGGAAGCCCATTGGCTGCGCGGTCCGCGGGCCTCCGGAGGAGGGGGCCTACGAGGTCTGCTGTTGCCGTGGTTACGCGGAGGCACGTGTGCAGTCCCGGAAGCGGCCCGGGGAAGCTGCTCCCGGCGCGCAGCAGGAGGAAGCGCTGGCGGGTCCGCTAGAGTCCGGGTCCGGCTGGGCCATGGAGTCGATGTTCGTGCTCGCGCCCCGCTGGTTCTTGCTTCCCCTGCTGCTGCCGCTGCTGCTGCCGCCACCGGCCCCGAAGCTAGGCCCTACCCGCGCCGGAGCGGAGGAGACCGACTGGGTGCGCTTGCCCAGTAAATGCGAAGGTGAGGGGGCGGGGCCGCGGGGCCGCGGGGCGTATCCTGCCGGGGGCGGGGTCGGGGGTGGGGACTGAGGGCCTGGGTGATGGGATGGCTGGGGCTGGGTTCAGGGTTCTACACTGCACCTACTCTGTGCTTGGGAGTCCTGAGATGCGCGGATAAGCGAAAGATCCGAGCTTTGCGGGGATGGCTGCTGATCCAGCCAGGAGGTGGGGAGGAGGAAAGGCTGTGCTGAGAAGCCTGGAGAAGAATTAGGAGTTGGGCAGGAAATGAAAAGTGGAGAGGGACCCACTCAACGGAAACCACAGCTGCAGTGGCCAGTGAAGAGGCCCTGTAGGCCAAGGAGCAAAAGGGCGAGTTTGAGGAACTGAAAAGGTCCATATGACTCAGAAAAGGAACCAGAAACTCTCAGCTGTGTACCCTCACTACCACCCCATCTGTGTATGGTTTATCTTTTGCTCCCACGAATAGCAGCTTGAGGGACTTGGTCTCCGATATTTATCCGCACTGTCTGATAGCCAAAAAAAAAAATGCTTTTGGTATATGTGTAAATAGAGGGGCTATGAGGCGAGGGGGAGGAGACTGGAAGGATCTAGAGATCACTTTGGGGATTCACAACTAAGGAAGATGTTAATAATAGAGGATGGTGAGCCCCCAAGACATAGGAGTGCAGGTACAATTTGAGACAGCCATTCCGGGGTCTGTGACCGTGAAGGGCCTTCCCTTTGTCCTGCCTGACATTTCTCAGTTTTCTCCTCAGACCTTTATAGTTACGCCCTCCTTTCTGTATCCTTGTCCCAACCCCCCCCCCAAGAAGGGAAGCTGCAAATCCATTTTATATGAATTCAAAGCCTGTACCAGGCCAGATGTTCCCTAAGCACTGGGAAGTGGGGGTGGGTGATTTGAGACACATAATCCTTTCATTTGAGTGATTAAAAGTGAGAATAAGGGCTGGGGCGGTGGCTCAGTGGGTAAAGTGATTGCTGCACAAGCATGAGGACCTGAGTTCAGATCCCTGGCATTCACGTAAAAACTCAGGCAATGTAACGTGGGATGCATGCACCTGTTATCCCAGCTCTGGGAGGCATACACAGGAGAATCTCAGGAACTTGCTGACCAGTCTAGCCAAATTGGCAAGCTCCAGGTTTAAGTGAGAAGCCAGTCTGAAAAAAGTAAGGTAGGTGCAGTAGAGGAAAACACCTCTGGCCTCCATATGCATAACTACACATGCATGTGAATACATGCATATGCACTATACACATACACATGATTTTTAAAATTTTTTAATTATTGGAGGTTGGAGAGATGGCTCAGAGGTTAAGAACACTGGCTGTTCTTGCAGAAGACCCAGGTTTGAATCCCAGCACCCACATGACAGCTAACAACTGTCCATAACTCCAGTTCCAGGGGATCTGATGGCTGCTTCTGTCCTCTGCGGGCATTGCACGACATGGGTGCACTTACCTACATGCAGGCAATACACTCATAAAATAAAAATAACAAATAAAATTAAAAATTTTTTTTTAATTTAAATTATTTTGCTTGGGGGGTACACATGCTTTAGTGTGTGTGGGGCGTGTATGAAGGTCAGAGACAACTTGCAGGAGTCAGTTCTCCTGCTCTTTGGGCCCTGGTATTGAACTCTGGTCATCAGACTTAGCTGGGTTTTGTAGTTGTTGTTGTTTTAATTTTATTATTTTTATTTTCTGTGTATGTATGTATTGCCTGCATGTAGGTAAGTGCACCCATGTCATGCAGTGCCCACGGAGGTCAGAAGAGGCTGTGGGATCCCCTGGGACTGGAGTTACGGACAGTTGTTAGTTGCCATGTGGGTGCTGGAATTCAAACCCCGGTTCTCTGTAAGAACAACCAGTGTTCTTAACCGCTGAGCCATCTCTCCAGCCCCCAGACTTAGCAGTTTTAAGTGAGACTTTAGGACTTTAGAGATACTAACCTCATTGGCAGGGCACCCAGAGAAGGATCTAGCCTGTGCCAGGATGCTCTCCTCCCACTTTAGTGACATTTATTGGGGTTTATTATTTCCTTGTTGGAGAACCAAGAGCCCCTGCTGCTTCCCTTAAAATATCACAGCCTAACTCAGACGTGATGGCACATGCCTTTAATCCCAGCACTTGGGAGGCAGAGGCAGGCAGATCTCTGTGATACTAAGGCCAGCATGGTCTACATAGCAAGTTCCAGGTCATCTGAAGTTACAGGGAGACCCTGTCAGAGAGAGGGAGAGGGAGAGAGGAGAGAGGAGAGAGGAGAGAGGAGAGAGGACATTGAGTTTTGCCCATTTTAACTACAAATCTCCATAAGAGAAGTTTCTTGGCATAAGGATTACCTTCAGGCCTTGTTCCCAGATCTACTTGTCCACATCCTGACCACAGCTGACTGAACTGTGCTCTATAAGCAAGCACACACACACACACACACACAGACACACACACACACACACACACACACACACGGAAACATGGATGCACATCTACAACAGAGAGAGAGGAGAGAGGAGAAGAGAGGAGAGAGGAGAGAGGAGAGAGGAGAGAGGAGAGAGGAGAGAGGAGGAGAGAGGGACCTCACAGCCTAGGAAGCTTGAGTTTCTTTTCCTTAGACCTTCACTGTCTCTGACACATGAAGCTGGCAAGGGTCTTAGAGATCACTGCAGCCTAAACTTGTAATTGGTGAAGATTAGTTTACAAGGGATTTTTCAGTCACAGAGTGGTTTGGCAAACTTGGACCCTCAGGCTTCTCTTAATGCTGTATTTGTTTATTATTATTACACCTTTGTTATTAAATGCTGATTGTGTCTGGCTCACAAAGCTTGCCTTCAGTAGCCTAAGTAGAACAGGCCTCAGCACAAAGGATGGAAAACTTGCCCAGAAAAAGAGTGGGTGAATGTCCATGAGGGTCTGGAGTCTGTGCCATGAGTCTCCTCCAAGTCTGATTCAGGAAGGCTCCCCAGACGGCGTCTTGAAGAAGTGATGTTTAAAGAGTTGGGAAGCAAGGTTGTGGTTGATGGATATAAGAGAAAGGATATTTGGAACCTCCTCTTTTCCTCTTCTGCGATACCACATGTTGAGGGTGTGGGAGAAGGGAGCAGAGGAGGCAGAACAGTGCTGAATTTGCTGGAGCACAGACAAGAGAGGGGTGGGAGCCCAGATGGCCCAGGATGGAGAACCAGAGCCATGAGACCATTTAGGTGCATTGCAAACTCTGACCTCACCAGCTTATAATTTGGAACTTTTGTGTGTTCCAAGTTTTCTAAGCCATCAATGAATGTACTTGTTCTATAAAATTTCACCAAGCAAGCCCTTCAGGGAGTGTGTTTATTTTTGTGGTAAATTGGTTTCGACCAGACTCGGCTCTCAGCGTGGAAACAGTGCAGATGGCACTCAGCCTGCAAACAATATTCTGATCATAGACATCAGATGCTCAATTATACACATGAACCTGTCGACCATAGTTAGCAAGCACCCAGCCTATACAGAGTACCAGAGTAGGCAACACAGAAGAAATCCAGGAACCGCACACACACTTCAGGGACCCCTGTAAGTGCAGATAGAAAGAGGTATATGATGTATGTGTGAATATTTGAAATATATACCGCAAATACTGGAGAGCAGTTGTGGCAAAGCCTTAGCAACTGCTGAATACAAATGGAAGGCTAGAATTGTTCACTGTGCTCCTTCATCTTTAATGTGTAGAAGAATGCTTTGTTCATATAATTGAATTTTTGGTTGTTTTGCTTATTTTATGTGCATGAGTGTTTTGCCTTCAAGTGTGTAAGTGCACCCGTGTTGTGCAGTATCCATGGAAATCAGAAGAGGGTGTCAGGTCACCTGAAATGGGAGTTACAGATGGTTACTAGCTACCATGTAGGTGCTGGAAACTGAACCAAACCAGGTCTTCTGCAAGAGCAGCCAGTGTTCTTAACCACTGAGCCATCTCTCCAGCCCCTTGTTTTATTTTTGGAAACAGGGTCTCCCTGTAGCCTGAATCTGCCTGGAACTCACTACATAGACTAGGGTGACCTTTATCTCACGGAGATCCACCTGCCTCTGCCTCTCAAGTGCTAGGACCAAAGGCATGTGCTACCACTTCTATATTAAATTTTATTTATTTATTTACTTATTTATTTGTGTGTGCACATGCACCACGGTGTGCATGTGGAAGTCAGAGGACAACTTACAGAATTTGGCTCTCTTCTTCCACCAAGTGGGTCTGTGGGTCCTGAGAATTGAACTCAGCTCTCAGGCTTGGCAGTCTGTGTGCCCGCTAAGCCATCTCACCAGCCCTGCTTATTGTTCTTTGAAATTTTTCTTTGTTGACTGTGTTGCCCAGGTGGGCCTTGAACTCAGAACTCTCCTGCCGCAGTTTCCCAAGAAGTTCAGATTACAGATATTGGCCATTGTGCCTTTTCTTAATAAAGTGATGGGGGTGAAGTGCAAAAAGAAGCTAGGAATGGACATTGGTAGTGAACGCCACTTGGTGGCCTGAGGGGGTAGCTTCTTCCCTGCCTTGTATATTGCTTAGGCCTAGATGAGAAAGGAACACCCACCTGGGTTTGTTTTGCTGCCCTGGCCGCCCAGCAGAGGCTCTGTACACTCAGTGGACTATGCTGTTCTTTCCTCCCCAGTGTGCAAATATGTCGCAGTGGAGCTGAAGTCAGCTTTTGAGGAAACTGGCAAAACCAAAGAGGTGATTGACACAGGCTATGGCATCCTGGACCGGAAGGCCTCTGGAGTCAAGTACACCAAGTCGTAAGTGAATGGGGACTTCATAGCCTGGCCTGCTTTGTTTAGGGGACTGTGGCTCCGTTTTCCTTCTAGCCAGGAAAAGCCACTAGAAGGAAGTCAGCTTTGGTCAAGGGACTCAGACTTGTCTTCTGATTCTGCCACCAGCGAGTTAGGTGACCTTCATAAATCCTTCCTTGTCTCTTTGCCTCAGAAACCTCATCTATAAAAGTGAGACTGATGATTCCAGCCCCTAGGATTTTATGGACCAGTGAAATTCACAAAAGATTGGTAATTTGAGATTATTAGCTTTTTTTTCTTTTCTTCTTTCTTTTTTTTTTTTTTTTTTTGGTCTTTTTGAGACAGGGTCTCCCTATAGCCCCAGCTGTCCTGGAACTCACTGTGTAGACCAGGCTGGCCTGGAACTCACAGAGATCAATCCACCTGCCTCTGCCTCCCAAGTGCTGGGATTAAAGGCATGTGCCACCATGCCGGGCTGGGATTATTAGCTTTTTATTTTGCCAGATAGAAATTTAAAAACAGCCTTTAATCCCAGCACTCGGGAGGCAGAGGCAGGCGGATCTCTGTGGGGTCGAGGCCCGCCTGGTCTCTATAGTGAATCCAGGCCAGCTAGGGCTACAGGGAGACCCTGTCTCAAAAAGACCAAAAAAAAAAAAGAAAAAAAGATATTTAAAAACAGATGAGAAGAGAGCCAGGCATGGTGGTATACCTTTAATCCCAGCACTTGGGAGAAAGAGGCAGGCAGATCTCTGTGAGATTGAGGTCAGCCTGGTCTACATAGTGAGTTCCAGGCCAGCTGAGGCTAAAAGGAGACCCTGTCTTAAAAAAAAAAAAAAAAAAAAAAAAAGACAAAACCAGCCTCTGTTACGATTATCCTCAGTGAGTAAAGGTAGTTACCAAGCCTGATGACCTGAGTTTGATCCCTGAGATCAACACAGTGGAAGGAGAGAACCAGTTCCCCATGGCATGTACATATATACTCACACAATAAACAAAATATAATTTTAGGGACTAGAGAGATGGCTCAATGGTTAAGAACACTGGCTGTTCGTATAGAGGACCCAGGTTCAATTCCCAGCCCCTACATAGCAGCTGACAACCGTCCATGGAAATCTGACACCCTCTCCTGACCTCCACAGGTATTGCATGACGCAGGTGCACTTACATACATGCAAGCAATACACTCATACGTATTCAATTAAAAAAAAGAAAATCTAATTTTAAAAAATGACATGAGGGGGCTGGAGAGATGGCTCAGCAGTTAAGAACACTGGTGGTTCTTCCAGAAGACCTGGGTTTGAATCCCAGCATCTACATGGCAGCTAACAACTGTCCGTAACTCCAGTTCCAGAGGATCCAACAGCCTCTTCTGTCCTTCACAGGCATTGCACGACACAGGTGCACTTACCTACATGCAGGCAATACATGCATACAGAGAAAATAAAAATAATAAATAAAATATTTTTTAAAAAAATGACATGAGGTAGTCAGCTTTGCTACTTTTGACCTGATTTTAGTTCCTAGCACCCACCTTAGGCAGCTTATGATCACCTCTAACTCTAGCTTCAGAGGGCACAAACATGCAAACAGACACACAAACACGTGACATACACATAAAGATAAATTTTAAAATAACTTAAAAAGGTGATATTTTGCTATCAAAATGATACATGTCTAGGCAAAGTGGCATATACCTATAATCATAGCACTTGGGAGGCAGAGACAGGAAGATTATTGCAAGTCTGAGGCCAGCACGGTCTACCTGGCAATTTCATGTCAGCCAGAACTACGTTGAAGGAAGGAAAAACAACAACAACAAAAAAGAAACAAGGAAAAAAAGGTACATGCTGGGCATGGTATTTCAAACCTGTAATTCAGCTGTTGGAGGCTGAGGGAGGATGATGTTGGTGTCATGGTTATTTATTTATTTATTTTTTGTCATTTTGAGACAGGGTCTTCCTGCAGCTGCAGCTAGCCTGGAACTCTTATGAAGACCAGGCTGGCCTTCAACTCACAGAGATCCACCTGCCTCTGCCTCCTGAGTGCTGGGATTAAAGGCATGTGCCACCATAGCTGGCTTGGGTTAATTATAATTGTCAACTTGACAGAATCTAGAGTTACGGGGGTGGGGGCTCTGGGCATGTGTGTAAGAGATTATCTAGGTTAGGGGCTGGAGAGATAGCTCAGCGATTAAGAACACTGGCTGTTCTTCCTGAAGACCTGGGTCTGAATCCCAGCACCCACATGACAGCTAACAACTGTCCGAAACTCCAGTTCCAGGGGATCCGATGGCCTCTTCTGTCCTCCACGGGCATTGCACAACATGGGTGTACTTACCTTACCTACGTGCAGGCAATACACGCATAAACATAAAATAATAAATAAAAAAATTTTTTTTTTTTTGCCTTTTTGAGACAGAGTCTCCCTGCAGCCTCATCTGACCTGGAACTCACTGTGTAGACCAGGCTGGCCTCGATCTCACAGAGATCCGCCTGCCTCTGCCTCCTGAGTACTGGAACTACAGGCGTGTGCCACCACGCCCGGCAAAAAAAATAATAAATAAAATTTTTTAAAAAATTGATTATTGGGGCTGTAGAGATGGCTCAGCAGTTAAAAGCACTGACTGCTCTTGCAGAGAACCCAGGTTCGATTCCCAGCACCTGCATGGTGGCTACAAACCATCCTTAACTCCAGTTCCAGGGCACTCCGACACCCTCTTCTGACCTCTGCAGCATTGCACGACACAGGTGCACTCACATACAAGCAGGCAATACACTCATACACATAAAATAAAAATAATAAGTAAAGCCGGGCATGGTGGTGCACACCTGTAGTCCCAGCACTTGGGAGGCAGAGGCAGGCGGATTTCTGTTAGTTCAAGGCCAGCCTGGTCTACATAGTTCCAGGACAGCTGGGACTACAGGGAGTCCCTGTCTCAACAAGCTAGGCCTGGCAAAATTGCTCTCAGGAACTCAGGAACTCAAAACATTTTACCAATATAATGTAATTATACCATGATTGAAACTCACATTGATCAAGATTATGGGTGACTATTGACTTCATCAGTTCTGTGTTGGCTTTACTAAAAAATACAAACCAGATGCCTAAGACCTCCTATGTTCGGCATAACAGATCTGCGTGGTGGTGCACACCTTTAATCCCAGCACTCTGGAGGCAGAGGCAGGTGGATCTTGTGCGTTCAAGAGCAGCCTAGTCTACATAGTGAATTCAGGCCAGCTGGGACTACAGGGAGACCCTGTTTCAAAAAAGAAAAAAAAAAAAAGAAAGAAATCATGACTGCAAGGTGCTGACAAATGACTTGAAAGAATTGGTTAATGGGCTGGTGACATGGCTAACTTGGAAAGCTCTTGCTGTGCAAGCATGATGCTCTGATGTTTGATCCCCAACACTCACAAAAACATCTGGGCATGGTGGTGCTCACTTATAATCCCAGGCAGACAGAGGGAGCTCTGGAACTTGCTGTACACCTAGTCTGCCTAGTAGGTGGGCTCCAGGTTCAGTGAGAGACCCTGGCTCAAAAAATAAGGTAGAAACTGATCAAGGAAGATACCTGATGTCGACTTCGGGCCTCCATACATGTGTATGCATACATACATACCTGCACACATGTACACACATGAATGTGCATAAATACATACCACACACAAAGAAGTGGTTAATAAATGAGGGGCTGGCTGCTCTTTCAGAGGGTCAGTTCGCAGCACCTACATTGGGCAGCTCACAATCGTTTGTAAGTCCACTTCCTGGGGGTCCCACACCTCTTCTGACCTTTGTGGGCACCACATGGGTGCATGATGCCCATATATACACGCAGGGAAAACACTCATACACATAGAGTAAAAATAATTTTTTTTAATGAGAAAAGTGAAAAATGCCGAAGAAGCTCAAGTTTAAATTGGGAAACTTGTGGCACTTCCTGGTGAAGGTGGTAATCCTGGAATGACGACACAGAACTGATGACGATGCAGGTGCTCAGGCTGACCCAGCTGATAGGAGCCATAAGTCCAAGAATCTCTAGTAGTGACAAATTAAAAGTCCTGTTTGTAAAAAGAAGGAAAAAAAGGGTGCATTTTGCTTTATAAGAAAAAAACGAAGTGTCAGAGTACTTGTCCACCATGCATAATGTCCTGGGTTTGAGCCCTGGTACCTCAAAACGTAGGGGCTGGAGAGATGGCCCAGTGGTTAAGAGCACTGGCTGTTCTTGCAGACAACCTGAGTTTCGTTCTGAGCATCCACATTGGACAACTTAACAACTGCCCATAACTCCTGCTCCAGGGCCTCCAAACACCATCTTCTGTCCTCTACCGATACCTCTACACATGGGACATATACACACACAGACACATGCACATAAACATAAATACATTTTTTATTTAAAAGTAAAAATAAGCCAGGTGTGGTGGCTTACACCTTTAACCCCAGCACTAGGGAGGCAGAGGCAGAGTGTGAATTCAAGGCCAGCCTGATCCACATAGCCAGTTCCAGGCCAGCTGTAGTTATAGGGAGACCCTGTCCCAAAAAGACCAAAAGAAATGGCCAGGTGTGGTAGCCCACGCCTTTAATCCCAGCACTCGGGAGGCAGAGGCAGGCGGATATCTGTGAGTTCAAGGCTAGCCTGGTCTACATAGTGAGTTCCAGGACAGCTAGGGCTACAGGGAGACCCTGTCTCAAAAAAAAAAA